ATGGTCTTGAACACGTGAAAAGCACTAGTACAAAATAAAAGTTCCACGGATACAGATGGAAGATCGTTTAAGACTCGAGCTTGGGTCGTGTGGCCTCACGGTCAATGTCAGGCCTCCCTCCTTCCCCAGCGAGATCTGGCCGTCTCCTCAGCTGCAAGACAGATTCTCAGAACCATGCTTCACTGTCCAATGCACCACCTAGCACACTAGGACTTGTAGCATACTTCAAATTAAAATGGCATTTGCCTGAAACATTTATCAAGGTCACATCTCTTACATTAGTGGACCTGGGACTAGAGAATGAGCTTGTGCAGGGTCCTGCCTTCTCTTCCTCTGCCCATCACGCCGTGATTCTAGCTGGATGGCAGGATCGCACAGTAAGCCAAAATCACTTACGGCACAAGCACAGCCCTTGGGCCTATGGGGCCTTAAAAAATACCACTCACGCCAGTTTCCTTTTCCCCGTGTACCCCCTAACATGTGCCAAGTGACCCCAACTTTACATCTGCCTTTAATGGGAAGGGGACAAGGATGAGGGGCTATTTCCTGGGGCAGCTTCAAAGGCAAAGCATTCAGAGGAAAGGGGCCCCAATTCCTGACTCTCTCAATCATTTAGCTCATTCCACCTCTATTCAGAAGGTCTAGGTCAGGGGTGACTGGTCTAGGTCAGGGGTGGCAAAGAGATTTCATCTTCCGTCAACTCTGATCCATTGGTCATGGCTGCCAGGGGCATTGTGTCAAGGAGGATTCTGAGGAATAGCCAAGAAATCATGTGCTGTGATGGATTAGTGATGTCTGTTGAGGGGGCCGGAAGGAGGACTGTGGCACATATGCCACTCTGGGCATTCTGAGACAAAGCGATTTCTACGATTCTTCTCGCCCTCGCCCTTGGTGGTTTTACATTGGCAGCTTTGTTTACATCTTAGAGGCCAAGCGCTGCTACACCGCATTAATCTGGACCATTTTAGGACCCATCGAGTGAGTGAGAAGTCTTACTCTGAGGGTGCCTGCGGCATGCTGGCCAGCTTTATTACCTTCAGTGTGCAGAGCCGGCTCAGCCCAACTATCTAGCTGGTGCCGGTGCAGGAACCACGGCGATCTGAGCCCAGTAGGTCCAACCATATGACTGGGCGCTCCTGACCTGTCCTCGGACACGTAACTCTGTGTGCTTAGCATGGATACCGCTGAAACTCCGACAAAAGCGGGATGTTTTTGAAGTAGAAAATCATTCAATAGGCAGTTTTGCTTCTACTATTGCAAATTGCCAGAGAATTGAATTAGACTTGGCTGCACTAGCTGGGAATAAGCCGTTTTTCTAGAACGGCATGCAGAAGATAAGACAAAATGGTCCAGAACTAGGTTCCCCTGGGTTTCCAGATCTGCAAAATGGGGAAATAGTATACCCCCACAGGGCTAGTTGGGGGAGTACTTGAGGTAAAATGTGGAAGAGACTTAGCAGGTGACGTTGCTCACAAACGACGGTCAAAAATGCTGTTTCGTCTGCCCCGTATCACTCCGCGTCTGGACTCACCCTGACCGCGGGGCCTGCTTCTAGCAGTATGTTCGCAAAAATGATGTTACACATAGATTTTTAAAATAGTGTCATTCTTTTCAGAGGACTCCTTGAGTTTTTCAGAGTCTCTTCCTTTTTATTCCCGAGGATTCTTCGTTGGGAAAGGTTCCCTGAAGGCTTCGACGTGGGCTCCTCTCTTCCCGGTGTTCTGGGTGGGGTTGCCGATGCTCCGGGGGTCCTGACCTGCATGCGCACAAATGCTTGGCTTGCCAGGTTCTCTAGAGGGGACTGGACCACATGGTGACGAGACCACGTCCACATCTTCCCTTCGACTCAGCAAGTGTCAACACCCGAATTGCACTCCTGCTGGAGGGACGGTCAGGACAGCAAAGGTGGTCGAATGGCAAATTGATACCAAGTGAATTTATGTGTGGGTGTGCCCCAAGGATGGGCTTTACTTGGTAAAAATGGATAAGAAGTTTGAAGAAAGGCCTCTTTCAGCCCTAGTCTCTGAGAATCTTTAAAAGAAAGATTAAGTTACCATTTAAAGAAAATCAGGACCAATTACATCTCTGGGAAGAGGGGAGAGGTACCCACCCGACTGGAAGAAGGACAGCCCTGGTCACAGAGACCAAGGGCAGGGGAGTGGGCCTGGGGAGCCCAGGGGAGCTCCTCAGGAGTCCTGGGTCGGCTGAGAGTTGGGGTTCTAAGGGAGGCAACAGATAGTGCATGCCCTTTAATCTGTCCACCTGGAGCAGCAGTCCCCAGCCTTTGTGGCACCAGGGACCGATGGTCCTATGAGAATCCGATGCCTGATGATCTGAGGTGGAGCTGAGGAGGTGATGCTGGTGCTGGGGAGCGGCTGCAGATACAGATGGAGCTTCGCTCACTAGCCCGCCCCTCACCTTCTGCTGTGCATCTCAGTTCCCAACAGGCCACAGACCAGCGGTTGAGGACCCCTGCTCTAGAGCACCAATTCAGAGAAAGCATTGACTAGACTTGAACATGTAAAGTGAGGAAGGAGGGGTCAGGAGTGAACTCCAGGCTCCTGGCTTGGGAATCTGAGGGAGTGGTCCTTTGACCGTGGCCGTGAACAGAGAGAAAGCACATAATGGATGGCGGAGAAGGCGCTGGACATGTAGCATCTGGCACACCTGCGGGACACCCAGGGCCTGGCATGCAGTGTGGAGCCCAGGTTAAGCAGCTGATTTTAGGAGTCCACATGGCTTGAATTCA